TGTTTGTGCTCATCGTTTTTATGTCTGTGTGATGGTTTTACCTGGGCTTCTTATTTTATCTAGGTTTGTCCTTCTTTGTGCTTATCTTTTTTATGTCTGTGTGATTAGTTTACCTGGGCTTCTCATTTTATCTAGGCTTGTCTTTGTTTGTGCGTATCTTTTTTATGTCTGTATGGTGAGATCCGTGGCGAGAGAATGAAATATATATCACTTTGTGTATGGTGTGGTCTATATAGACATCGATGATCTTCTTTGAGCCCGTTGGCGGGAATGCACACACAATCGTCGACAAATAAATTTTATGTGTAGTATAGAATTACATAGTATGTTATAATAAAGAGATATATAGTGCAATACGATAAAGAATTAGACACTTTTTTTATGATATATACATCACAATAGATAAATTATATAGTTTTTCTGATATAGAATAATATAACATTTCATATTATAGCTAAAAGTATATAGTATTTTATAGTATACATTCTTTTATATTTAGAAGTATACAGTACTTTACACTATATACTTTTTGAAGTCCGACTCCATGCCACAGCGTTTAAACGTCAAAGAAATTCAGCTATCACTTGATCATCACAGATCTACACCATACTCGAAATGTACCGTCTAGAAATTGCTTTTAACCTGCACTCGGCTTTGATGTCTACGGCTACTGATTGAACCTCTACTTCATACCTACCACTTGCAATAGCCACGTTACCATGGATACGGTGCTGACTGTTGAGATCAGCATCACACACTCCGTCGCCTCACACGGCGGCCTACTCAACGGACTCAAACGATTGACCACGTCCAAGGTTAGTTGCAACTATGTGCACAATGTAATAGATGCGTGATGTGTGGCTGTATGTGGGATATCATGGCTTCTTTGCGGACGTCCGTAAAGACGAATAGTTTGCGACACTAAGTCGAATAGTTTGCGACACTCAGACGAATAGTTTGCGACACTTAGACATTTTACGACGACAATGCATATGCTGAGAGTAGTGTGCGCAGAATGCCATAGATCCATACCATGTGACTATGCTCGTAACGCCAGTGCCCCAATGGATGTAGCAGTGTGAGTAACCATCGATTTAAATCGTTTAAAGTAATCTGTTAGTACTTTATTTATAGATTACCTAAGGAGTCTATTAATATCTCGTCTAAAACCAAATCTTTTAATATCTTTTGAAGCAATCTGTTTATATCTTTAAAAGTAAAGGTTTTCTTTGCTGCAGCGTGTTCCTTATTCGTGCCTATCGATTGTATGTGGAGATTGTGCCTACCAATTGTATGTAGAGTGCGTGTCACTACTGCTGTCCACTGCACGCGTGCTGCAACTGATCCGTACAGCCCGATTTAACTGTGAGGGGGTTGGGCCATGGATTCTTGTATTCTAAGAAATGTGCTGCGCGGATTGTGCATTCATTGGTATCAGGTATATAAACACCCCTGAATGTTAAGTCATTGGTGTTAGGTATATAAACATCCCTGAATGTTAAGTCACTGGTGTTAGGTATATAAACATCCCTGAATGTTAAGTCACTGGTGTTAGGTATATAAACATCCCTGAATGTTAAGTCACTGGTGTTAGGTATATAAACATCTCTATGGTTGCACACACAACGTTTCTGGCAGCACAATTCCAAATCTGAGGAGAGCAAAAGGAAACGACGCACCGTCAAAGGTCACGTGAGTGTTACCATTGAGGGCATTATGGCACGCAGCGATGATGACGGCATCTTCACACTGGCACTGTCGCAGAACAACCTACCACCGCAAGCCCCCAAAAGGTACCGCACTTTCCTAATTGTGTAGGTGAAGGTATAGATTTACGCGGTTACGTATGAATGTTTTAGGGCTTTTGGGTTTCACATAGGCATATGAGCGCATGGGGCTATGTCCAATGGTGACCTTGAGGCCCATGTTCACATCGGTATCGCCACCGAACAAAGACGGTATACACTAAGAGATGTCAGCACATCCGCATGTTGGGTGGATGTGCCGGTGCGTCTGAAAAGGAACGGGGTTGTCAAGTATGAAGAGATATGAGAACCAGCAACAGAAAAACACTAATCAATGTGAGATGCACACGATAAACCCTAAAACCCTAAAACCTCATTCACACACCGTCGCCTATGGCACCACCAACAGAACACTAATCAACATGCGATACACATGATACGTATTCACACCACATCCTCTCCATTGCAGACACAGTCTCACAAGCAACAACGACTCAGAGCACATGGTGGCCATGATCTCCATGAAGGCTACGCTGCAGCAACTGGAAGTCGAGGAAGAGCTGCAAATACCTGAGCATGGCTGGATTACTATGCGTGTAGCCGATGCATCGGTTAGTACGCGCGAGTGCTCGAGTGGCTTAGACTACATATAGCTGTGGATATGCATAGGCGGATGGTGTTGCACATAGTTTTGTGTGTATTGCATGGTTGTGGGTATGCGTATGTACTTAGTATGAGTGCGCCTTTTGTGCATTTGTATATGGAGTGATTCTATATCTGTCTTGCCTACCCGGAGCGTGAATTGCATGGTCATAGTACGCTCAATTGAGACTGAAGAAACATTGTAAGCATTCTAACATGACATAAACACTATGCACGTTGCTGGGGTATCCCTTAGTGCACCTAATACATAAATGGGTAGTTAGAATATGTGCGTACATCGTCTATATTAGCGGCCCCCTTTATGTCGCCGCCATATGCCTGCCCTTGGCATTGTTTGATGCTCATTTCCACACATGCTATAGTAGCTGTCGCATACGAGCATATACGTGTGCGTAAAAAATAAAGTATTCGGCACGCCCCTTTGACCCATACCATGCTTGCAAGGCACACACTACATGCACATATATGTGCCTCGCCATGTAGCTACTACGTGCCCGATCCTCTCGTGATATCATCTAACACTCCACTGAACACTTGCTGTGGGTGTTATGGTTGGTGTACAGCTGTGGTCAACGCTCTACGCTGTTGTGAACGGCTCGGTGGTGGACTTCTACTACGACGACATCAATTTGCCAAACAAAGTGAGTGCGATTAGATTAAACATGAGTCGTCAGTTGTATGGCTTGCTACCAATACATTATATATACCGTATGGCACTTGGGTCGCTTCTGCTCTGTTTGTCTGTATATATTTGCGCATGTATCGACACACATACACATGTACTCACACACACACACACACACATACACACACATACACACACACACACATATATATATATATATATATATATATATATGCACCTGTATCTAAACCTCGAGGGCACAGGGGTTGTGATATAGCCAAGCTAGGAGCTCTGTACATAGTCGTGGTGCTGAGTACAGTTTGCATTCTCAATGCTATATTATCTAATGGGATGCCGCCTTGTGTATGCTGATGCGGGTGTATGTGCACTTGTTGATATATAGCGATCACTGATCAGAGGAAGTGTAGTGTGCATTGCTCGATGGAAACCATTCGTTTAGGCGGATCGCCTTACAAACCCGAGTACATTAATTTATGGCAGATGAGGAATGACAAATACTAACGAAGACACACAGTATATCGCTATCCAACTCATCTCTCCTCCCTATCACCACACACAGCCCTCACCCCCCCTTCCTAACACCATGCATTGTATAGCCTAAGAAGAAGCTCTCACTGGACATCTCCACATATATTGCGGCGATTGAGATTGAGAAGAGCACGTGTATAAAGAACGGCTTCAAACTGCTGCCACGGCCCGATTGCAACAGCGAGGTACATCGACGTGTGCCCAATCGTTTAAGTGTGGTGTGAGGTGTACTAGTGCAGGAGTCTATATGTGTAAGGGGAAGGGGTTTGAGGTTTACTTGGGCATGTGTGGTGCATGGACGATGGGGTCAGGTTCCTGCAGAGAAGCGTTTGTCGGTTCGTATCGAGGCTGTGCAGAGTGTTTGCTCTCTTGTTATGAGTTCTGGTGAGGGTCTTTTTATTCCAAATGAACTGTCTGGTTATGTATTCTAAAGTGAGTCTGTTTATTCTAAGTGGGCTGGTGTAGTATACGTGCTTTAACCGAGTTGGCGTCTGTGTGGCAGAGCGAGTGGAATGCCCTGTTTGCTGAGGGGATTCATCATGAACGCGTTCACCTCTAGTACCGAACTGTCTAATGATTTGATGGTAACGGTACACACCGAGGGACCGCGTGCATGAGTTATGTTTCACACATAAGAACACATAAGACGCACATACTGCAGCTACATACGTCGATAGTTGCTATATGCCTGCCTCGTATCAATATACGACTCAGAGAAAGAGTTTATTTTTTACATTCAACCCCTACATAAAAGCATGCGGCCACAACATATATGTATCTACATCATTCATCATCGATGCCGTGTTCAATAGTATGTGTCGATCTACCCCATATATCGGATCTCGGAACAAAGGTTTATTCAGTGTATATCCATCAACGTACACTCTTCTAGACCAATCAACATACACTCTTCTAGACCAATCAACATCCACACATCTAGACCGATCAACATACACTTATCTAGACCAATCAACATACACACATCTAGATCAATCAACATACACTTATCTAGACCAATCATCGTGCACTCATCTAGACCATGACCGTGCGTATGTGTTCGTTCAGGTCGAAGGATGTGCCGGGCCGTTAGAATTCCGAGCGGAGTCCAAACGCGAGAAGATGGAATGGCAACTCTGCTTCCAAGAAATCCTGAAGAACTGCAACGACGGCTGACGGGGATAACACGCGTACAACCCTATTTAAACCCACAACACATGCTACGCATGAGACTAACGAATACGCGACTACCCAGCACAAGTGAGAGCTCCGCTAAGGGCCGAACTGGTTACCATGGCAACGAACAATCGACTCCCTCCGGCGGCGGAACAAGTGCGCATCGGAAGAATGTTTTAATTTCACTTTGGGTTATCCTGTCCGGTCCACCCGTGTGAAAGCATACGCAGCAAACCACAACGCTAGGGCACGTGAAGATACGATACGATACACTCGCAGGTGTGTCTGAGAAGGGCAGCACTGCGTATGTGACCTGAGTGCACGACAGACGACGAAGACAGGAGAGGCATGCATACCACTGCTGATCAGGTGTCGCACATTGCGAGAGGGATGCAGATACACGTGTGTAGATGTGCCTCTACAGAAACACAGAGAAGAGCTGACAAGCCCACCGCAGCAGACTATGAGAATAACCAGTGGTTAATCTACACAGACATATACACATGGGATGTGGTATGTGCGCCTTATCCACAGAAATATGCGGCCAAATAAAACTCATACTGAGTTTTGGCGCAACGAGGCCGATGCGACAGTGTACTTAAACATATCGCATGCCTCTGCTTTCTTGGTCGATGCACAGGAACAGGAAGCATACCCACATACATAAGCCATGACTACATTGTTCACATCAGTATACGACAAAAACAACATATATATATATATATATATATATATAGAAGTGTAAGCCACGTCGGTAGGGGCTGGTAAATCTGGCAGAGCACAGCTACGCATTTCCAAATGGGCATGCGAGCCCCACAGGTGTTGAGCGACGAATTTATTTCCACACTCGTGTGAGACTCATCACAGGACGTCAAAGGAGGCCCCGTGCCGTTGGACAAACCTTACAGCGTAGCCATACCATCACAACAGAATCTATCAACGCACACTTATGATCATGTAGTTGCCTCTAGAACATGATGTGTTGAAGTTGAATTGGTAGCTTCTCCGTGTGTGTGATAGAATAAATACGATTTCAAGCTTTCAAGCGAATCTTTATCCTTGTCCTTGAGTTCGCTTCGTGAACTAAATATTGGACACTGCTGTCACTACCCAGAATGACACTTTACGCCACCACAATGATGTATGTGTAAATGCGACGGGGATATCCCTACCAGAGTCAGTGTTTCATTGAAAGCTTCACATATCAACTAGGTGAGCCCACGGCTTCATATTAACAGCCCTATATCCATGGTTGTTCGTGGACTTTTTCCACTCATAGAACTCTTTATCCGCAAGGAGTAAGCTGTTTCAAATAAAGTTTCGATAATACAAACAAAATATCAAACTGCTTGCTCTACTGGAGTATATATATATATGTATGTATATACACATAGGTAGATAGAACGACGGAAGGATAAATCACACATACACACAACCTTAATATATATATATATGTATATATATATATATGTATGTGTGTGTGTGTATGTATAAATATAAATATATGAATAACTATAAATATATATCAAAACATACATACATACATACATACAAACATACACACACACACATAATAACATACATATGTACGTACACACAA